CGAGAGTCTACACCTCTTGATCACGGAAGGGTACTGGTGCCCGATTCGCGCCATATCAAGTTAATGTATGGTCATAAAGCTCGCAATGTAGATAATAACGATGTATTATGTAATAATAGAACGAATGAACTAACTTCAAAGTTAATAACCACGTGATCACGGAAGGGTATTAACAACACCTTTAGGATTTAGATCAACACATTTTCAATTAGTTTTATTTATGTAATAAGACTAATATACCTCACTGGGAGTAACCAGGGTTTTTCAAAAAGGAGCAATGCTCTAACGGTATAAGTATGATAGATACTTGTACTCTTCAGTTTAGAATGGTTAATTAGTAACATATTTTTAGGGAAAATATAGGATTTTCCTAGAATAACACTGATATTTTATAAATAGATGGTTTATAAATAAACTAATGAGTATTCATAATCCTTCTATAACTCCTTAGTTTATGTACCCAAGGTACGTATGAAGAATATCCGGTAGACTGTGGAATGTGTGGTTTTCCGCCTCATTCCCTGTTCCTTGTTTGGTTGTGGGTTTAGGGCAGATCCACACAATTAACTGTCTATCCGATGTTGGTTTATACATAACTAGTATGAACTAAGAAGTCATAGAAGGAATTGGATAATTATACTTTTCATAAGAAAATATGAGATTTTCTTGAAGAACACCTTCAACAGATACCAAAGAATCATTTTACTTAAGGTTATTCATTTATTACACCAGGTAGCATAAGGTTTTCTATGAAAGATATTGCCCTTTTTCAAAAGAACTGAGAACTGTCTTCTAAATCAAAATACTTATGAACTCACCGGCTTTATGTTGATATTTTCAAAACTGCTTGTATTCTTAGGAAATCAGTAGATAGGTACCTCCTGGATTTTTGAGAAGCTGGAGCAACAAGAGCCTTGTCTTAATATTTTACCTTCATTTTGATGTATTCAACCATGTTTTAAACAGATGTAAACTTTTTAAATTTATATGTATTCAATGTTTGGTTGTGTTTACTATGCTTACTATGATACAATTATTGTGATACTACATATGACGTCCTCCACCCCCGAACGTTTCTATCGTTCTGGTTTGGGGGTGTGACAATGTGATTGCTTATGCCTTGAGGCATCTGAAGCCTCATGAGGTGAATTACTCCACTCATGATTTGGAATGAGGGGAAGTGGTATTTGCCCTCAAGATTTGGAGGCATTATCTATATGGGGTACAATGTACCATCTTCATCTTTCACAAAGAGTTTAAAGTATTTGATGGATCAACAAAATTTGAATATGCGTCAGAGGAGTTGATTAGGTGTGCTGAAAGCTTATGATGGTGAGATCTTATACCATCCCGGGAAGCCCAATGTGGTAGCCGATGCTTTGAGCCTTAAGACGGCAAGTGCCCCGATTCGAGATGTTTGTGTGAGGATGACAACGATTTCACCTTTGTTGGATATGATTAAGGATGCATAAGTGGAGGGTTTAAAAAGGGAGAACTGGAAGATCGAGCGGATTTGGGGGCAAATTCCATTGTTTGTTCGAGATAGTTGGGGATTATTGACTCAGTATGGTAGAGTTTGTGTACCGGCATCTGGGGGTGTGAGGCAAAGAATCTTGGAAAAGGCGTACAAGTCTAAATTTTCTATTCATCTGGGGCCACAAAGATGTACCAAGACCTGAGATTGAGATATTGGTGGCCCTGCATGAAGTGAGAGGTTTCATGGTTTGTGGAGCGGTGTCTGACTTGCAGGAAGGTCAAGACCGAACATTAGAGGCCTCGCGGCAAGATGCAACCGTTACCTATTCCTATTTGGAAATGGGAAGAGATCACCATGGATTTTATAACGAAGCTACCTAAGACCGCGCTGGGCATGGATTCCATTTGGGTTACTGTGGACAGGCTGACCAAGAGTGTGCATTTTTATTCTGATTTTTGAGAGTATCTTCGCCAAGAAATTAGCAGATATTTATATGTGGGAGGTGGTAGTTAGGTACGAGGTGACAATATCTGTGGTCTCGGATCGCGTTGTTCGTTTCACCTCTAGATTCTGGAGGAAGTTTCGTGAGGAGTTGGGTACTCAATTGCATTCTGGCACTGCTTACCACCCCCAGACCGATGGACATAGCGAATGGACAATCCAGACGCTCGAGAATATGCTTCAAGCATGTGTAGGGTGTTTTGGGGGGAGTTAGAATACTTACCTACCTCTAGTAGAGTTCTCATATAACAATAGTTATCATGCTAGTATTGACCGATTCCGTTTGAGATGTTGTATGGTCAGAGGTGTAGGACTTTAGTTTGTTGGGGGGAGGTTGGACATCGAGTTATGGGAAGCACTGAGGTGGTGCTTAAGATCACTGAGTTGATTCAGCAGGTGCATGACAGGTTGCGATTCGCATAGACCCGTCAGAAAAGTTATGTGGATCGGCATCGATCGGATCTCGAGTTTCAGGTGGGAGATTTTATGTTGCTAAAGGTGTCACCTTGGAAGGGTGTTATTCGGTTTTGGAAGAAGGGAAAGTTGGGACCTTGATTTATTGGTCCGTTCAGGATTGATGCCTAAGTCGGTAGGGTTGCTTATCGATTGGACCTTCCGGATGAGCTCATTCAGATCCATAATACCTTCCATGTGTCTCAGCTCCGGAAGTGTATATTAGATGAATCTGCAGTTATTTCATTGGATGACATTCAGGCAGATAAGAGCCTGAATTATGTTGAGAAGCCCATTACAGTTCTAGATAAAAAGACTAAGGCTCTTTGTAACAAAGAGGTGAAGCTAGTAAAGGTGCAATGGCAACACTGAAGAGGCTCCGAATGGACCTGGGAGCCAAAGGACGAGATGAAAAAGTATCATCCTGATCTTTTCGCATCTGCAAACTTCAAGGACGAAGTCTAGTTCAAGTGGGGGAGATTTATAACGCTTGGCTCTGGTATAATTTTATTTCTTCAAATATTTATAATTTCCTTTGCAGACTTGATGAGTTAGAAGCTTCAACTCGTCGTTTCGAGAGAGTTTCAGCCACGAATATTGATGAACCAACTCGATGAGTTGGGGTGCACCAACTCGGCAAGTTGGCGGCTGGGAAGGAAACCCAAAATTTTAGGGTGTTGCATCCTATTTAAAGGCCTTAAGCCCCTTGGCTGGCCTCCTTACTGACCTCCTCTGTCCACAAAACCCTAAAAGTGTGTACCATTGTCCTTGTGAGTGTGTGAGCTTATGGAGGGCCTTAAGTGTTGATATTTTGCACATTTTTGGTGAATGTTTGAAGTGGAAGGTGCATAGCTTAGAGGGAAGAATTAGATTTAGAATCTCCCCACTCATTTCAGTTATTTGGATGTATCAAGCTTATACCTTGCTTTGTTATCATCTAAATCTCTTTATTTGGAGTTTTATCTTGATTTTGGACTATTGTTTGAGTTTTTCAAGAAGTTGAGGGGTCCATGGGCTGTCATGTTAGATCTAGCCATTTAATGGCCTCATTTGGCTTAAAGTTGCAAGCTTTACTATGTCCTAGGTCCCGTTTATGCCATATGTCCTTTACTAAACCCATATTGAGTCCCAAGATTTTTTTTAGTATGCATGGACGTAAAGTTGGAAAGTTTACATGATTTTCCAGCCTTAGGAGGTCAGATATGTATTTTGGGACTATGTTTTGAGAGTTTAAGGGCTTAATGGTTAAGCCTCACTCTAATGGGTCTAAGGTTTAGGTTTGCCTCGTTTTGGATGGTTCCTAAGGGTAAAGTTGGAACTTCACCCTTATAGACATCATTTTGAAGGAGATCTGAGAATTGAAGTTCCTAGATTCGATGGAAACAGCTTACTGCATTAAGTTGTTGAATTTCTGGCTAACTCGGCGAGTTCATTAGTGAACTCAAGGAGTTGATGGGAGTTTTTCCGATCTATGCAGTTAATGGAGAAACTCGACGAGTTGAAGGATAACTCGGCGAGTTGGGTCAACCCGGACCATTGACTTTAGTCTTTGACCAAGTTTGACTTTAAGGGGGTTTTAGGACATTTTGAGTTGTATTTAAGGAATTATTTCTGTTTAGGGGTTGACTTGAGCTGATATTCAGAGCTGGGACCTAGTCAGTTATCGTTCAGTATTTGAGGCGAGTCTTTTCACTACACTCATGGGTCGAAGACACCAAAGCCGGTCCACTAACTAATATGAAATGTTTAGTCATGGAAATATGTAATGGTTGCTATTTGATCTATGTGTGAAGTATGTGAAGACCATGGGAGGAGCCCATGGCTCGGGGATATATGACCATGGGGGTAGTCCATGGCATTCTAAGTGAAGACCATGGAGGGAGTCCATGACAACCTTTTATGTATGTGTGGATGACATTATGCGGTTATATGTTTTGGGAAACTCACAAAGTGTGTGCTTACAATTTTGTTGGATGTTTCAGGTACTTCTAGCTCTAAGGGCAAGCTGGGTCCGACTTGATGGCGCAGTGTGCACTCTCTAATATTTTTCCCCACTAACTATAATGGACACTCTGATATACGTTTTCGAGAGTTCCTGTTTCGTTCTGAAACACTTGAGCCTTGTATTCACTTTCTCTAGTTAATCAAAGAGCATATTTTGTATCTTGTTTTAGTGTTTTTAAACTTCTTAGTTCCACATTTGTTTGTCATTGATATCTTGTTCCTACACCTTGGATATGTCCCTGACCTCGCCAGTCAAGACAATGCCTAGTTTTGGTTCAAAAAACTTGTAGCCCTAGAGTACTACTTCATCACAACATTTATAAGGTGTCATATTTTTCTTGGTATCAATCAAATCTCCAATGCTTTACGTGCCACCTAATAGGTCTAATAGGTTTACATGACATTAAATGTAACGTCAACTTATTATGCATAAATATTAATCACCTTCAATTATTCAATCACGGTCTTGTATAAAATAATAAAAATATTGATTTTCAAAATTTATTCAAAAAATATATCTGTTCCTTGTGAGGGAAGTCGTAATAAAAACATGCATTTAAGAGTGTGGGGTTGAAACACTACCCACCTAATTGCCACTTGCTATGTGAGACCCGCATGTGGCTCCATTCGTACCCGGGTTAACCCAAAACCCCGGCCGCCAACCACCCATCAAAAAGCTACTTCTCGTAGCTGTTCTTCACTGTTGCTTCTTCTCCTCGGTCCCACAACCTCACCCTTCATCTTTCATTGTTTTCTTCTCCAATTTTTCTTCGTCAACCAGCATCGGATAATCCAATTCTCTTCCATTATAATAATATCTTCATACCACGATAAACCCATTTCCCCAATTTTCTTTTTGTATATACCACGTTGACGCTCCTGTCTGACATATATTGGAGTGGTTATCCATCTTTTTCGTCCCCTGTTCTCAATTTACAAAGAAGGAATCAAAATTCATCTGGAGAAAAGATGCCTGAGTGGTGGAAATGGAAATCGCCCAAGAACAAAGATCAGAAGAATCAAGAGAAGAGCTTGAAAGATAACTCGGTTTTTAGCAAGAGTTATCAGACGTTGAGCAGCAAAAGTTCATTACCCAATAACATAAGTGAAAAGAAGAACAATAAGAGCTTTGACGACGCTGTATCGGCACGCGCCTCCCCACGTTCTTCATATACTGCTCCGTCGGCGTCTCCATCTCGGTTTTCGGGTTTTGATTCGGATCGTATAGGGCATCCTTTGCCTCAGCCGTCCATATCACCGACGACGTCGGTCGTGATGGCTGATCTTCAAGGGTTTGCTTTGGGATCCGGGTCGGTTTCTTCCAGTGGAGACTCTTCTGTTTCTTCAGCCGATAATCTTGATCATGGCCAATTGGGTATTTTCAGGTTCGTTGGTGTGAAATCCTTTTAAAAACTTCTCCTTTTTGTGTATTCGATTTCATTTCCGAACTTGGTCTAGCTTCACTCTTGAGATTATTTAATTGACGTTCCAATTAAACAATTCCCACTGATCTTGATGCTAATTCATTACCTCAGTTTTTATAGAATTCGATAATCAGAAAAGAAAGCTCATTTGATTCTACAAAGTAAAAGCTTCATGTTGCTAGTGAAGCTTTCTTGATCATATGTAGGTTGAAGAGAATGAAGGAATCATTTTCTCTATGAAGAATCAGAGTAACAATGAAACTGTATGTATCAAATCCGGTTGAACATATTTACTACAAAAAGTTAATTCCATCATCACAATGCCCTTATTTTGATCAACTCTAGTATCACTCTCAAATAACTACATAGCTCTATCTTTAGGAACTTAGTAGATGATACTCAACATACTTGATTAAATACAAATTCTTGGATTCAAGTAAGCATCTTTAGGAGACACGGTTGAACATATTTGCTACAAAAACTTGCTTCTTTTGTCCCATTGACATAAGTCCACCTCTCAATAAACTTCAAACACAATACAACCTGTTTTGCTATTACTATCACTGATACTGTTACTGATACTGATACTGACTATTGATATGACAGAGGATATGGGGAGGCGAAGTTTAGCCCTCAATTGAAAAGCCCGGGAAGAGGGTCAAGGGCTCCAACCACAACCACATCACCACTTCACCCAAGGTTTGTGGGTTCGAGTCTTGAATCTCCTAACAAAAGGTTAGATGATGGAAAAAGTGAAGGACACAGGCTACCCCTTCCACCTACTTCACCTACTAGCCCTCCTGCTCCTTCTTCATTACCAGGGACCCGAATTTGTAGCTCTCCTAATAGACCTTTGGTTGTTGGATCAAATGTGAAAAATGTTGGTGTTGTTGAAACCTCAAATTGTCAAGTGTCAAAATGGAAGAAGGGGCGTTTGTTGGGTAGAGGGACTTTTGGGCATGTTTATCTTGGATTCAACAGGTGTGTGAATTGTTGAGTTTCATGATTAGATTGTGATGTTGTTGTATGTGGCTTCAGAAATTTATTTTTTGGTGTTGTAATTGTTCCTGTTTTAATAGTGAGAGTGGGCAGATGTGTGCAATTAAAGAAGTAAAGGTTGTTGCTGATGATCAATCGTCAAAAGAATCTCTCAAACAGTTGAATCAGGTTTACTCTTCATCTCTTCACTAGTATTATGTGATTTGAATTTTGGGTTAGATACATCTTATTACAGCATTGTATTCTGAAAAATCTACCTACTTATGGCCTTTTGATGATTATTATTATTATTTTTTGACCAATTTTGTTTTGTTCAACAGGAGATCACTTTGTTGAGTAAGCTGATACATCCCAACATCGTTCAATACCATGGAAGTGAATTGGTACTCTTGTTTATAGCTTCATATGCAATGAGTAGTTTGTTAAAATTGCACAAAATCACGTGTAGTATCGTTGTAACAATCAACAACAAACAGTTATTTTTGGTGTTTCTTTTTTACTCGATTCAAAAAATATGTATGGCTTAATAGAGAAAGTCACGGAAATGAGGCTTTCTCCATTAAATCTCAACTTTTCTTTACAAATTTTCCCTAAATTAATTTTTTTCCTTCCATTTCCTTAAGTGTGGCGTTTTCAATGAAGTTAGTCCTATATTGATGATATAAAGTATAAGCATTCTTTTCTTTTTGTTTTCTTTCACATTTCCATTTATTTCGACAAATTTTGTAATGCGAGAGTAAATGGTGACATCATTGTAAATTTGGCTGTGATGTTTTTTAGGGGGAAGAAACACTATCAGTTTACTTGGAATATGTCTCTGGTGGTTCCATTCATAAGTTACTTCAAGAATACGGGCCATTTAGGGAGCCCGTAATTCAAAATTATACTAGGCAAGTCCTCTCTGGACTTTCCTACTTACATGGAAGAAATACAGTACACAGGTAACTCACTCTTACACTGACATGACATGACAGAACAAGTTACCCATTCTTACACTAACATGACATGACATGACAAAACAAGTTGTACTCATTCTTACACTGACATGACAGAACAAGTTGTAACTCGTTCTTGCACTGACATTGCATGTCATGATATGACAGACCAAATTGTACTGTGTTTGGTGTGTATTAGATTTGGATTGGGGCTGATATCGATGGGAAAAATATCACAAGTTTCGCCTTATTGTCTGTGTAAAAGACATAAATGCCCTCCTAATCTTCATCCTTATCATCAAAACCTACCCTAGAAAGTTTATTGAGTCCCGTATAACATATGCAACCTAAACGAACTTTCTATGCAATATAATTTCGGACTTATTTTGAAATGTGTATTTTTTGGGCAGAGATATTAAAGGTGCAAACATTTTAGTAGACCCAAATGGTGAAATCAAGCTTGCTGATTTTGGCATGGCGAAACATGTATGTTTTCTGCTGATTTTAATTTTCATTTCAAGAAATAGCAAGTTACTTTCTTTGATTTGTATATTGTAGCATCCATCCTCCTTCCATTTCGTCTTATTTAACCCAAAAAAGAAATATTGCAATTTTTATAAGACATCTTAAAACAAAAAGTGTTTTAAGTTTCCATGAAGAGGAAGAACTTTTTGTTTACGTTAACCAATTTTTAATGTGAATTCATTTTGGTACTAATTTGTTTAATTTTCATCAGATAACAAATTGTACTTCAATGCTCTCATTCAAAGGAAGCCCATATTGGATGGCACCCGAGGTAATTTTCCCCCATTTTTCAAAAAAAAAAAAAACACATTCCTAACACCATAATGAATGTATAAACTCATACTATTATTTATTTATTTATTTTTTTATTTCAGGTTGTAATGAATACAAATGGTTACAACCTTGCGGTTGATATTTGGAGCTTAGGATGTACGGTTCTTGAAATGGCAACATCAAAACCTCCTTGGGGTCAATACGAGGGGGTATGAAATCTGATTTCCTTTGTGAATTTCCAACATTACCCCTTGTCAACAAAGATGCTATGTTTCTCCCTTTGGTCCATGATTTGTGCCAATTTTCACTTTTGATGCCTTGTCTAATGCCCAATTCATATTTTTTTAGCATAATTTCAAACTTGAAATACTTTTTTGTCAACTCCAATTCACAACTTACACATGGTATTCATTTTGTTTGCCTCAAGGGTATTTTGGACATTTATTTGATATTTGAATATTTCAATTCTCTCTTTTGTCCATAATTCACAACAATTTTCATTTCGACTCCTCATTTAATCCCAATGTGTTTCTTTTAGCATAATGTCAAATTAGAATAACTTCTGTGTAAAGACATGAATGACCCTCCTTATCCTATACAATCTATGTTAGCAAACACAATACCGAAGGGTATCTTGGGCAATTAAACAACAATCCTTACGCTTGCTTTTTTATTTTTATTTTTATTTTTACAGGTGGCAGCAATATTCAAGATCGGAAACAGCAAAGACATGCCAGAAATTCCAGATCATCTTTCAAATGATGCAAAATCTTTTATAAAACAATGCCTACAACGGGACCCATGTTTAAGGCCCACAGCCTCTAAACTTTTGGAACATCCATTTGTATGTGATCAAGCTACAACAAGACTTGCAAATGTCAACCTAACAAAAGAAGCTTTTCCAACTGCCTTTGATGGAACTCGAACACCCGTAATTTTTTTCCTTTTTAAACACAATATTCTTTTGTATATATTTATTTGTTTATCATCTCATCCTACTTTCATTTCTTTCTTTCGATCCTATTTCTTATTATATATATTTTTTTGAATACAGACGGCTTCGGAAATGTATTCGAATAGAAACACTCGTTCGTTTGAGGGAGATTATGCAACAAAACCTGTGTTGTCAACACATAAATCTCCAATGTTGAGTCCAAGGTACTTTCCTATAACTTTATTTGATAAAAAGTATAATATCATAAACATAAACCCTCTATGCAATTATTCACCATTTTCGAAAGCTTTTCTTAAAGTAAATCTCATTTTTTTAAAGAGAATATCACTTTATAGTAACATCTCATTTAGTAAAAGATTAATAAATATATTATAATCACGAAAGTAGAATATGAAGTCTTAAATCTAAGAGTCCATGTTTAATATCGTTACAAAAATAAAAGATGAATATAATTATAAAAATAAAAAAGACAAGTATTATGTGAACTATGCGAAATTTAATTTTTAATATTGCAAACTAAAGGATAGGTTTGACGCGCCACAAACTAGCTTATTTTTCGAGCTTTTTTAAGTTGTTATCTTTAAAACTAACTTTTTAAAAAGTTACTTAGACTAGCTTTTCATAAGCCTTTTTAAAATTTTCCAAATATACTCTTAATTAATTATAAAAAACTTTTTTTTAACGCCTATTTATGTCATTTTATTTATTTCAGTTAGCATATCAGCTAGTTTTACCATACATCATTTTTTATTAGTTCGTTTTCATATAACAGCTAGCTTTTCAGCTAACAACTAGTGAAACAAATTCACAAGTTAAAAAATAAATTTGAGCACTACATATAGTTATGGGAATAAAATAATAATACATTGTTGGATCCACCCGTAAAAAAAAAAAAAAAAGCTATTATTGGTGTCTCAAAAAACCATTCATGGATGGGACATGAGATGCTTTTATATCTCTCTAGTGAAATTACTTAAATAACCTTGTTACACGTAGGCATCATGCAAGAGCAATCACGTCTTTGCCGGTATCCCCGAGTGCAAGCCCATTACGACAATACGGGCCCGCATACGGAAGCTGTTACCTCTCGCCACCTCATCCATCATATGGTATTATCGGTCAAAGTAGCCACCCTTTGCCCGATGTCTTTGCGGGCCCGGGTCGACCCATCACAAAAACCGTACTTGACCCGTGGTACGAGATCCCACAACTTAAAGCCCAAACGCCTAACAGATCACCAAGAAGACAACTCGCTTGAGTTGTGAAAAGACCATAATATCCAAAGGGAAGGATAAACTTGTAGTGATATCGAATGTTTTTTTTTTTTTTTGTTTTTTTTTTTTTTTGTCTTTTTTTGTGATTTGATGTAAATAGAAAATGTTAGTGTGAGTATCTTTTTTCGGGTGTATACGAAAACATGAAACTCGACTCGACGGTTAAAATTAGTTTGTCAACAGTTTATTTTGTTACTTTGTCCGGTTTTTTTTTTTTTTTTTTTTTTTTTTTTTTTTTTTTTTTTTCTATTATTTAATCATTTAGTTCAATTTCATACATGGGTAATTAATTGGACACGTCACAAGTCCATAGTCCATGCTACTTTTAAATCCATTCAAGAATATCATTTGTATAATCAAATATTGGTGTGGTAATGAAATATAGTTTTAAAAAAAATGTCGGTGGGTTGACTTGACTCTACCCATTGTAAAACGTTGAGTTGACTTGACTCTACCCATTCTACAACCTTTAGGTATAATTGCAAAAAGTAGATAGGTAATTTTTTATTATAGCAATTCTATATATGGTACTTTTATATTACTCATTAGTAAATTATTGTATTTTGATAAATCTATTAGTTACAATCTAATGTTTATAAGAAATAGTATACAAACAAATATAATAGAAAAATAAAATTTAAGTACAAATAGAACAAAATATAACACTAATATAAAATTATTACTAAATTGTCTTTTAATGGGAAAAGAGTTATTATATTATGTTTGATTCAGTTAGATTTCTAATGTTTAATATCACAATTAGAAACTTCTGATTCGGTTTCGGTTTCATAACTTATAATATGCATCTTGTTGGGTGTTACAAGATATGATGAATCAGACTCAATTTTCCCTTGAATAAATATGATTCAATCAGCAATTATCAAATACGTAAAAGGTAATATATTTTAAGCAACAAACTTAGCCGTCCAATCTTGTTACCCTTGATATCTATGTCGATCGTTTAAAAACAAAAATCTAAAATATAGTTTATTTGGAACAAAGTGATAAGAATAAAAAAAAAAAAAAAAAAACATGTGTTGCTTTCATATAAATAAAATAATAGATTTTGGTAGATTGTTTGTTAGTTGGTTGTCTTTATTAAGACTGTGGCAGGTTCCTTTTCTAGAAAATATCGTCATTATGGCACGAGTTTCATCTCATACATCTCCCTTGGACATGGATTATTCCAAGTCTATTGCTTGGTCAATGGAGTTGCTTAATAAAAATTTAACATTTTGTGTTTCTCATAAAAGAAATTGTAACAAGTACTAACATCACATGTTAATTAAATTTTCCAATAAACAAATGAATCCATAGAAACAAGGTGGATATGCGACTACACAAAACCCGTGTTGTCTAGGGATCCAGATTTTTTTTATATATATATTGTATAGATTTTTTTTATCTATATTGTATTCATATCTATATATAAGAATTTTGAGAATTGTAACATCGAAGAGCTAGTTTGTTAGGTGGACAGAGTCGAAGTCTCAAAGGCTGTGTCCCAATCTCGAAACATGGGGTGCCTTTTCCCAGCCGCCTTCCTATCTCTCAAGTAGATGTGCACAAAACAACTATTTTTCTTTTAACTGATACAACTAAAACCAAACCTTCGGGTTTATGTAGGTTTTAAAAAAAAAAAAAAAATTAAAAACCAGTTTTTTCCCCATTAAAAAAATGAACCGGACCAGTTTTTTAGTTCGTCCCTTAAAAAGCCCGAGCCGATTTTAAAATAAACTGTTAATAACCGCAACGTTTTTTTTTTTTTTTTTTTTTTTTTTTTTTAAAAAAAAAAAACCAAAAACCAATTAAAACTGGCCTTTGTTCACCTCTACCCTCAAGTCGAGCCCAATGATTGTTTTTTTGGAAACGCACCATGTGTAAATTTACAACGACCCACTTCTAAATTCAAAAATGCTACGGTTGGACAATCAAATCCCTTTTTATTGCAAGTACAATAGAAGGATGAGAGAAGTGTATAAAGACACATACAATAGAGAAATTGCAGGTAGAAAGACGAACACAAATCTTTCCATAATATACCTCATAAGTTTTTAAGTTTCTAAAATCTGAATTTTGTTATTTACTTAGGGGCTATTTACCAGGATCTAAACTTTTAAGATTTGAATTTAAAAGGATCTAAATTTTTAAGAGGTCAGAGAGGCGGTAGGAGGGAAAAGGGAGGCAATCATGAAAGAGAAGCGATGAAAGAGGAAAATGTTTGTTGAAAAATTAGGATGTTTTTGGAACACATTTTTTTTTTCTTTGTTTTCTTCATATACAACTCATTTTCTTAAATAAAACAAGTTGTTACACAATTAAGAGGTTATCAAATATTCTCAATCTAAAAAAATTAAGAATCTGCCTCTTAATTGAAAAATTATGAGAACGCCAAACAACGTCTTATTCCTCTTCTGTCTAAAATCAAATCAGAATTGTGTTTGAAGCCATTGTTCTTACTCAAATCTAAAATCAAAATTATGATTTACCCAATGTAATTGACATTTTTACTTCTGATTCATATCTAATCATTTATATTTTGTAGAATTCTCCTTTCATACTTTTGGTTTTCATTGTGTATTCGAGTGATTATTGCTATTTTATTTTAAAAAATTATGTCTCTTAAGTATTTATCTGGTAGTAAAAAACGTAAAAAGATATCAAGAATTAACAAAGACTCAAAGTGGGTCTCTAGATAAGTTTCCCCCAAAAAACACAAGCCCACATGTTTGATGTTGATGATGGTAATGACGTTGAAGAGGATAATGTTATTGTTGATTATAATGATATTCATGTTAATGTTAAATATTAATCATGTTGATATATTTGATCCAATTGGGAAGGAGTAACTTCATGGCGAAAAGTTTGGTAGAGAAAGGTCCCAAAAGATAATACTATTGATAATGGTCCACTTGATAAAAAAAAAATGACGGTTTTATGCAACTATATATACTATAACTCTACCAAATAAAAAGACATGTGATATAGAATGACTAATATACTTGAAGGAGATTGACAAAGTTTTTTTTTTTTTTTTTTAAATTTTTTATAAAACGACTCTGGAAAGGTCAATTGGATAATGAAAGTTATGCGGATTGAAAAATCTTAGTAGAGACTTAAATAACATGAAGTTAGTTTTGATCATCTCACAAATTATGCAACTTGGTTGAAACACATGAAAGATCGAATTTTAATGAAACAAATGATAAAGCGGTGTATGATCAATTTACGAAAGAAAGGGAACATTGGAAAAAAGTCCTATTAAGAATTATATCACTTGTGAAATACCTTGTTAAATATAATTTAGCATTTCATGAAACAAATGAAATATGTATCAAAAAAGTAATGGAAACATTATGGGAGCCATTGAGATAATGGAAGAGTTTAACTAGATTATGAAAGAACATGTGCGGCGTATCACAAATGATGACATCTATGTACACTATCTTTATGACATGATCTCAAACAAGGTGATACTTTTATTATCTCGTGAAATTAAACGAGAAATCATTAAAAATATAAAGGAAACAAAGTATTTATTATATCATACTTGATTGTACCGCTAATACAAGTCACCAAGAACAATTATCTTTGATAGTGAGGTATGTAAAGTTCTCTAATTTTGTTATCGTAAAATAATCCTTTTTAGTTTTTTTTTTTTTAATGTCGATGATATCAATGGTAAAGGGCTCTTTGATATTACACACGGTGAATTACAATCTCTTAGTCTTGATGTTGATTATATGCACGCGCAAGGCTATAACTAATCAAACATGAGAGTAAAATATTAAGGGACTCAAAATAGATTTCTAAACATAAATTCTAGAGAATTTCATACTCCATGTGGTTGCCATAGTATTAATCTTGCATGGTGTGACATGTTTATAACACTTGTGGTAAAGTTAGAGTTTTTTTATTCATACAACATGTCTATACAATACTTTCCAGTTCTACTAAAAGGTGGAAAATTTTGAAAATCAATATTAAAAGCTTGACCCCTAAGTCATTGTCTGCCACATGTTAGGAAAGTCGTGTTGATGGTGTTGGGAAAGTTTGACTCCTAAGAGTTTATAACTTTGGTGTTACAAAAGATAATCTGTTAAATGTTACTCGAGCATTTGAATCACTCTCATGGAGCATTTGGAACTAAATGGAGCACTTAGAGTTCATGAAGCATGCGACGAAGGAATAGATCATCTAAGAAAGGAATGGATCGTCTGATAAAGGAACGAATCAAGCGCTAAAGGAATGGATCATACATAAGGGGGTTTGGAGCACCTGGAAGAGGTTTACAGCACTTGGGAGTGATATGGAGCAACATGGGGACCTTGTTGCACCATCTATTGAAGTGTTAGGAAAAAAGGATGTTGTTGCACCAAGGTACTCCCTCTTGTGCCATGGGGAATCCATTTTGTGCCATGAGGTACTCGTGTTGTGCCATGGAGTATGTTGTTGCGCCAAGCATGACCTTGCTGCCTCATGCATGTTCCTGTTGGTGGTGATCTTGCTCTAATCTATAAGTTCTTGTGCCATAATTGATGTCTATTGCGCTATCCATACACTTGTTTTGCCATCATGGTAGCAGTGAAGGGTTTTGAGCATTCTAACACTCTTATGGTGTATATGCAACCCTAGAAACCTTGGATCTATGTTTTCTCTATTATACATGCAAATTTGATTTTCCAAGGTTCTCAACCTAACTAGCATGTTATGGGGTACTTGTAATATAAAACTTTATTAGAATAACATACCTTTCCTTGTGGTTGATTGCTTGGAGTCTTGAGAGCCTAGCATCAATAATGTGGATGCCTCAAGTGGATCACAAATCGCCAAAACACCTTGGAAGACTTGAGAGAATAGAATGCACTCAGTAGTAATCGGCCCACCCTTTGTACTCACACACACTAGTCGATTTCATGTGCCAAAGACCTCTTTATATAGTATAAAGGATTAGGGTTACATCCATGTAAACCCTAATACCCATGACTTTTCATTTCCATAGGATCCATGGGTTAAAAACTCCATGGACTATCCATGCAAGCTT